GCTATTAATCCTACTCCTCAAAATATACCACTGTGAACTGAACACTCCTCTGCCCTGTACACAAATGTTTACAGTAGACTTATTTAGGCTTCACCCACACCTGGAAATGATGTCGATGTCCTCCAACAGGTGAGTGGTTAAACAAACTGTAATATAGTTACACACTACCCTATTATGCCTCCATAAAAAGGAACAGACTATCGATTTGTGCCATTATATGGATATCCTTGAAAGTAAAAGAAAGAAAACAAAAAAAATAAAATGCCATTGCACATGCTCAACCAAAACGCATGTAGTTTTTTGTTTGTTTGTTTGGTTTGGTTTGGTTTTTGTTTGGTTTTTTTTTCTGGACAAATAAAACAATTCTTTAAAAACCTGAAATTGAACTTGGGACCTTGCACTTGACAGGTAGGAGTTTGTGCTGCTCAACTACCTACACAGCAAAATAATACAGTTTAAAAAACAAAAAAAGAGAATATAAACAAAAATGTATTTCTACAGATAAAAAATGAACAAGTTGTATAAAGATATCAAATTCCATAAACATTCTAAGCAACTCATAAAATGTCTTGACGTCCTATATCCCTTCATTCTCATCATCACTGTGCTTCCAAAAAAAAGATGACTGAAATATTAGTACATACATAGTTTATAATAAATCTCTTTTGTACATTTCATATAAATAAGGGGACACCAACTTCTTAGATCTTTCCTGAATATATAAAAATGTTAAAGTGTGCACTGAATTTCCAAGAGATGGGTAACTGTAAAATTCACCAAACTTCTTTGACCAAATTCCTTCTCTGAGCTTCCCACGGATTTAGAAAACACATAGAAAACTGAACTAAGGCAAAAAGAGAAAAGAAAGTTTGCTATGAGCAAATTCAGAGATCATTTCACAAAGAGAACAACCAAGGAGCCAAGAAAAATAGTTAGATTATAGACAACCTATAATTTAGATTCAATATTCTTTTCTAATTGGACATTTGATAGGCACTATTTAGTTTTTATTTTATTTTTCAAATGGTTGTGCTTAATATTCTTTAATGTAATTGTTTCCTGTGTTTAAAAATAATGTCATCAATTTTTTTAAATGTTCAAACCTTCTCTTTTGTTCTTTCAATAACAAAATAGTTCTTGTGCAACTGAAAATTCATTTATAGTATCACACTGTGAAAAGTACTTGATCTCAATTGCTTTCAGAGCTATTTCACACAGGTCAACACTTTCAAATAGCATAAAATATTACCAGTTACAATCCAGCAACATATGCTGGATGTAAGCAATGGCTTCCACTCATGCATTGTACAGCCTTCAGCACAAGTCAGAAGTGATTCAGCAACTTTATTCTAACAATGTGACATGCACACTTGAGTTTTGCTTCTTTCTAGGTCTGCAGCGGCAGTGAGTCCCCTGAGGATTAGGCTGTGACTTGGGAAACTTGATCTCACCCATACAAAAATGATTTGTTGAAAAGCCTTATGCAATTGACTTGCTCTGTCTATATTTTCATCATTTTCCTGCTAAATAAGAATAAATCACTTTGCCAGTACTTACTGGATACACTAACAGCATTCAGATAATATTTCAAATTAGTTTGAACACCACTGAAGAAAACTA